GGAGTGTTGAAATCTCTGACTATGATGGAGCTGGGAGAGATAAAGTTGCTCATGCCAGTTAGAGTCTCTTTTATAAATTGAGGTGCATTCTGGTTGGGTGCATAGATATCAATAATTCAGATCTCATCATATTGAGTATTGCCCTTAACAAATATAAAGTGGCCATCTTTATCTTTGGTTACTTTTGTTGGTTTAAAACCTATTGTAACTGCAGGTAAAATTGCAACACCTTCTTTTTTCTGCTTTCCATTAGTCTGGAATATAGATGACCATCCTTTCACCCCGAGTCTACATTTGTCTTTTAAGGTAAGATGAGATTCTTGTATACAACAGATGTCTGGTCTGAGTTTCTGTATCCAATCAGCCAATTTGTGCCTCCTTAGGGGACAATTTAAGACATTCACATTGATTGAAATTATTGATAAGCCTGGTAAAATTTTGGGCATCCAGTTGCTCGAAAGTCCAGTAGACATTTTTAATCCTTTTGCCATTGTGGAAGTTGGGATTTGATCAAAAGTTTCTGAGTGGGTTTACTTTTGTGGTGGAGGATTGCACTGGTCATTATGGAGGATAGGTTTCAGAATTTCCTGGAGAGCTGGTTTAGTTATGGCAAATTTCTTCAACATGTGAATGACATGAAAGTATTTAATTTCTCCATTATAGATGAAACTCAGTTTAGCTGGATACAGGATCCTGGATTGAAAGTTATTTTGTTTTAGGATATTAAAAGTCAATGACCATCCTCTTCTAGCCTGAAAGGTTTCAGCTGAAAGATCTGCAGTCATCCTAATACTCTTCCCCTTGTAGGTTATGGTTTTCTTACGTCTGGCTGCTTTAGGAATTTTCTCTTTCATCTTAACTTTGGTGAAGTTAATTATGATGTGTCTGGGGGATGTCTTGTTTGGGTTGAGTTATGCTTGGGTTCTGCAACTATCTGCTATCTGAATTTCAGAATCTCTTGGCATGTCTGGAAAGTTCTCTTTCATAATTTCATGAAGAAGAGCCTCTGTGTTTTGTGAAGC